GATTAATATTAATAAACCCAATAAGCAAAGTCTACATTATCACTTTAAAAATTTTCATGCCTGGTTCAAACTCTGGAAGATTCAACTCAACCAAAACAAATCAATTAACATTACTTTTACTCTTCAATGAGCAACTTTCCCACCTATTCACAAGCGGATCTACGGGGGGGAGAGGAGAGAGAGGGGTTTTCGGGCTGAATCTCCCTCCCCTCCCCCCCAAAAAAACGGTAAAATATTACCTAGTTTTACAGAAAAAAGTATTAAACACTATCTCTTAAAGTATCCTTGTTCGTGTAATTAAATTTAATAGGCCTTATAGGACCACTTAAACACCATTTCATACAGGTAGCTAATTTTTCTTTTTTTTAAATTAATTATAGTTATATATAAGAAAATAAATCTTTCCTACTGAAGTCCCCCACCCCAAATTAAACCCTGGATCCGCTAGTGCTAATATTCATCCCAATAATTTATAATCTTGGACTAATATTTGACTGATTGACAAGGGTCTCACATATACAGAACAAAACAATAACAGTAAACCTAAGACTACGACTATTATAGTCACTCCTTTAAAATTAAAACTTACGCCGAAATTGAACACGTACATTTACTTACTTAACCCCATTTGGACTTACCCTTCACAGATATATGGGACAGTAATAAATACTCATATACGTAAACCAAAAAAATGTCAGGACTATCACCAGGTCTCCCTGGTAAGTCAGTAACGTTACTTGACATAAAGAATTACAAATACCAAAATAAAACGACCTCATATGACACTAAAAAAGATTTCATAATATCTTACACAGACATACCAACTCGCTTATCCATGGCATGACCACATTTGATATGCACGATAACACCCGTAGAAAGCTCAGAAGATGGATGATGGATCTCGTCGCTTAACCATAAATATTAAAATCGTGATAGGAAGTTCTGCCGCTGGACACGCATATCCCTCACGGCTATCTATGTCTTACGCCATATCCTATTTTCCGATAGCAAACTAACTTGTTTGTATTTCTGCTATGTGTGAAGAGAAAAATAAAGTTATATGTTGAGAAAGTTTTATTTCGAGCAAAAAAACATATTTTCGCATATCCTCTATAATTTTATCGTAACTATTTACTTATATAATATCTATTTTCGGAAAGCTCTGTCCTAAAAAAAGATCAGTAATCAATTTTTTTTTACATACTTGTGGTTTCAATTTCCTTATACAACGTATCTTGGAAACATAATAATATGAATATCCTTTTTTTTTTTTGAACAGTCATACTACAATCATCGATCTGGTTAACACCGTTCGGTTCTATGTGTGGGAGAGTTAAACCGATTCTATATTTCATAGATCTTAAATGAAGAATGATTAATAGTATTTATTTTAATTCTAAAATGTCCAAAATTTTAATGTTCAAAAACTGCTACTGATTTTCTTTCGGATTAATAAATTTAAATTTAAAAAACTCCTAGATGTTTCTTATCTCGAACAAGCTAATTCCTTCCATTTTGAGTCAAGAATTCCTTCCTTATTCAGTTTCTAAGGTATATTGTGTAAGGTAATTGTAACCACAAGCATGTAAACATTGTTATTGGGTAGATTATTGCAAATAAATGCTGTTTTATAAAAAAAAAAGATACGTAATACGCAAACATAATACTGACTGTTCAAAATATTCCTTAGATAAATATGATATCGTAATTCCTAGTGCGGACATTTCAGAGATGGGTTGGAGATCGATCTAACATTACGGCAATAATAATATCATCTTTTTATTGAAACCAAACCATGTGTGACGTTTTCTTGAAATTTAATCTCAAAGAATACCGCATGAATTCGGTAGACATTCCATTACAATGGAATTAATTGGATTCGGAGAAAAATGAAAAAAAAAAAAAAATCTCATCGAGCTTTTCTTCAATAAATGAAACCATTAGACATACCCATCCTCCAGTGTCTCCCCCCCTCCTCCCCCCTCCCCCAAAGTTAATTACATTTTTCTTTCTTATTTTTTTCATTGGTCATTGCTTCTACTTCTCTCGGAATTTTTCTTAAGTAATTTCTTCTTAATACGTTGTCCTTGGTTAAAATAATTTGGAATCTTATCTCAAAACCTTTTTTTAATTTAATTTAAAAATATTTATTCTGATCATAAATCTTTTGTAGAAGATAGACGGTGAAGAAGAAATTAAGCTCTGCTTCTCTATTGCTTTGTGTATAGTCACTGTAATCCAATTTTGACTTCGAATAGTTGATTTTTCGGCTCCTTTCTCTAACACCTGTAGTAACAGTTGACGATTGCAACGCTTTTGAATGACCCTGATCTGACAATGTCACCTTTCACTCCCAAACAAAATTGCCCACTTTTGAGAGGCCAATTTTGGCCCAGATAGATCTCCAATCCCGGTTTCGACTGATATTCAAGATGACACATGTTCGCCACTGATGTAACAGTGTAAACAAAATATGAAAGAACTCGGAAGACAAAAGCTCAGTGGTTTTCTCACTTAATAATCCTTTACACCCAGTATAACAAAAACGAATTCAACATACGATTGTTTTTATAATTCCACGGATAGTCAGTGTATAACTGGAAGCCATGGAATTCCGAAACTTTTAGAGGTCCTTAACCACACTGATATTTTATTTCAAAAATAAAATTAAAAAAACAAAAAATTAATTCTATTTTTTTAAATAAAAAAATTAAATTCCATAAGTATTTATATGAAGAAGGAACACATAATACTTGTGTAGTTAAAATATTGCTAAATCTGAGAAAGAAATGATGTGCGAAGAAGATAGTTTTATTACTGATCGTGAGGTTTAGAAAAAGGTGGTTGTGAGACCTGAAATTTTCTTTTATAAGTAATGCTTCTGACATAATACAACGGGGTATCTTCCTCATGCATTCATTACTGATGTTGAATTGTTGGTTTTGACAGGCTATATTGCTTACACTCTCATTGACATACTGGTCCAATGATGAGTTCAGATACATGTAATATATTATTATATATATTATATTCACACTAATAGTTAAAGGTACCTCGCTAAAGTAACAAATCATGGCTACAGCAGACGGACTGTCACTAGCAGAAGTAACAATGCGGTTGTGGAATTGGTTGGTTTATTTATTTAATTTACTGAACTTATAAGGTATTTGATGTAAAATAAATATCGGATTAATGTTTATAAATGTTATTTATACACTGCGTTATATTTAATACGATTGATCCCTTTTCTATCTCTCAGGAGCAATAGATTTCATCGAATAATGTACAAATGATGAATTCCAACTCGATTTTTAACTTTATTTAATAACTTTAATAAAAGTCATTAAACAATTGAGAGATTTGAACACTAAGACTGTCTTGATATTATTATACAGAGTGTCTCATTTCTTAATGGCCAAACTCTAAGACGAGATTTCCAACAAAAAGCTGTATTTAATGGATTCTGAATGGAAAAGGAGTTACGGCCAATTTTCCTTAAGATGGTCACTTTTTTTACTGAATAAGAAGAAATTGCTGCTCAAAAATCATACAAGATAATTAAATTCTTAGTACACCATCGTAAATAAGACAAAATTTCTCTAAGATATTAGTAATTAAATGAACTAAGATCAATGATAAAAGGGATTTTCAGGATGTCTAATACGACCACTGCACTACTACGAATCGCGAATACAGAGATATGCTGCTCGTGTATGTGTACTGTAACAGCAGCATTCCAGCAGTCGTATTAGAATAGAATAGAATAGAAAATATAATTGGTAAATGGTTGACTGTCGTGGATGATGAAGAGAAGAATAGTTGGGGTAGTCAGTCAAAAAAGAAGGCAAAAATAAATTATAATATTTATTTTTACATATTTTTACATACGTTTCGACCTGAAATTCAGGCCTTCATCAGGGCTAAGAAAATAACCAGTTAACAAGGTATGAGAAACATAAGTAGTAATGGTAAGAAAAAAATAAAGAAAAAAATATTTAAAAAATAAAATGAAATGAATTTGTTAGAATAATGAAAATAGAAAATAATTTTATTCTAGGACGAAGTCCCTTCAGAATAACAAAAAATTAAAAAAATTAAAATGTTATATCTGGCCAAATAAAAACAAACATAAAAAGTAAAGGTAAAGATAAATTAGTAAAGAAAATATTAGTTATACATACTATATACAAAATAAAAAATCTATATACAAAACTCTTGAAACCTTGCCAAGACACTTAAAACTACGTAAAATGGTAAAATATAAATATACACTTTTAGAAAAAATAATAAATACATTACAATCTTCTTAGCAGTTAACTCTGTGTTTCTGTTGGAAAAAAAGACCTCCTGTATTAGAGCTCCTGAAAGTCCCTTTTATCATTAAACTTAGTAACTTTAGTCACTATTAGCTTAGAGAAAACTACTATTAGTTGTCTACTTTACGGCGATGTACTTAGAATTTAATGATATTAAATGCTTTTTGAACAATTGCTTCTTATTCAATAAAAATCGTGACCCCCTTAAGGCAGTTAAGTGACACAAAGTTGGTCTTAACTGATTTTCCGTTTGGGATCGGCCCATACATCAAATGAACTTTTTTGTTGGAAATTGTGACTGGAATTTTCCTTCATAGTTTGGCTGTTAAGAACAAAGACACTCTGTATAGTATATACGAATAAGCGAAAGATCTGCTGGGACTTAGATGCCGGAATCCATTGAGGGTCGTAGAGCCATTAGATAGATATACGAGTAAACTATGAGTTTTCTAGGGAGAAATATAACTATCTAATTTGGGAGTTTTCATTAGAAATATTCAAGAGCTGGGGGAGGGGAAGGAGATAAGAAAGAAAATGTGACCAACAAAAACGATAAATGAACAACAAAAAAAAAACTCTGTTAATTTTTAGCTCAGAATGATGAACGGAATTTTATAGAATATGTTTTAATATGACATTGTAAATTGTATACTTATAATTTTTATAGAATAAAGGGCTGCTTACAAAAGCGACTTCAGCTGGGGGCCCAGTTATATCCGCTATCCCCACTCCAATCTTGTACCCATAGATCTCGGGTATCCTGCTCAGGCTGAGCCAAAATAGCACCAGCAATCCGCTGCTCCAGTCCATCACTGCAACAATAGCATATTCATTGAAACTTGCGTAAATTGTAAGATGTAAAAAAATATATATATATAAAAATAATACAGCTTATCTGATGGAAGAACGGCCCATCTGCAATACAAATTATTTTACTAATGAGAATTATTACTATATAAGTAAAATAATTTTAAAAATTGATTGTATCATTGTAAATTTTTTTTACCCATTTGAATTTAACTTACATAATATTAATACATGATTTCCTTTAAAATGATTTCCTTTTTCGAATCCGGTGATTTCCTAGTATATTTGCGAATATTCTTATGTTTAAACATACCACTTTTAATTATGAGGTTTTTCGATATGGCAAAGTTTGTCAGATGGATCCCATAATCATTTTTATATTCGTGCAAACTACCTTTACCAATCGTCGGAAAAAAACTTCTTCCCTTCCAACTTTTGCGTTCGCCCTACTAAGACTCTAATGGGGGACTAGTTTATCTCCAGATAATGAGTGTTTTACGTTAGGGAAATCCAGGACCATTTGTGGTGGATGGTGAACTAAATATACGTGAATAATGCGTTCAATCCTACGTCACACCCTCCATCAAGTCTCTAGGGCCCCCCTCATTGTTGATCAGCGAGCCCGAGAAATTTCCCCCAACCATCCCCACATCCACTACCTGAGGGAGGATTCCCGACGCGGTAATGAGCCAGCGTGAAGAATGGTTAACTATAAGTTTTATAAATTACATTTATTCATAATTTTCGCTGGGAGTCCTGCCTTTCCTTCCGCAAGTGGGGAGAAAGGCTTTTTTGGGGGATCTTGAATAAACGAAGTTTTTCAGATATTCTATAAAAGCATGTGTATATTTCGGTAGTTATTTTGATTAGTTTAGTTTACTTTTAGTATTATTATGTTTAAGTATTATTTACTGTAAATAGAGCAGGAATGTGCTCACTGAACACTATTGTCCTTAATTTTGACAAATTTTAATAATTCCGAATATATATATTTAAAAAAAAAAAATCAATGATTTGATTTCAATAATGTCCGCGTTGATTTGCCTTGGACAAACATGGACACAATCAACGCTGAATTTTTAGACAATGTAAACAGTATATCTCTTATGCAAATCGTTAGATGCTGATTCGTTTAGTTGTGATGAAAATTCCGGAACAGTTTATACATGAGCAATATCTCATGTTGTGCCCATTACTTGACACTAATGCCTAGAACTGCACCTGACGTGTGCCAGGGCGATCCATCAACATATTATACCATTAGGCAGCGGCAAACATTACTAGCATATATAAATTATAAGACTATTCTCAATTAATGTATTGTCATGTTTCTATGATAAAGAATGCTAATATGGTATATTGGATAAACTTTTAATAAAAAAAATAGGAATTTGGTAACATCATCAATATGAACACTATGTTTGTACTTCCTGTAGTGGCGTTTCTTTACTAACTCCTTATTCACTTGTATTTTGCCTGTTCATTATAGCGACTGCCAATTACCTTCCACTGGCTTCAAAGCCGGTGTAGCTCGTAAAATCATTGGGATATCTTATTTTTTGTTTTAACCCTCATATTTGGGTAGAGTAGCCGTTTCGAGGAATCTTATATTATTTATTTTTAATAATAAAACGATTATAAGTCCTCAAATTTATGACATTACCGATTTTTCGTTGATGTAAGAGGGCATTTTAATAACAAAAAATATTGAAAATTTCAAATTTAATTGAGGTGACAAATTACATTTAATAATATCCTGTAACCATTTTAGCTAACAGAGGAGGAAATAAACCGTCGTTTCGGTAATCAATATTCCTAAAATAATAAAATAGCAAGATGTTGAAGGACACAATCAACTTAAAGTTATTAGAAAAATAAAATTACGGCTCTAATGATTGAAAAAAATACAAATTCCTAGCAAAACAAGATTTCGCCTTAAGTTTTAAAGCAAAAAATAATGAAATAAATATGATGAAAATTTGAGTTTTGTACATTAGAAACAAGAATTTTTCTTAGATAATTATTTTTTAGGTTTTTAGATATTAAAAATAATAAATTTAAATGGATAAAACTTCTGACTGTAAATTGTCCTAGTGTTTATTTTAGAGATACTAGTAGTTGATAAATTAAATAAATTGAATTTAAGTCGTAAAATTTCAGGTGCCATAAAATTTAAAAATTGCCCCGTTTTAAAACTCAATTTGCGTCTTGAGTTTGAATCTATACGTTATTATATTTTTTAAATCATTGATGCGTAGCGTTTTATATTGTTACTTATTGGGTTTAAATAATTTGCCTGATATAAAAAAAAATAAATTACTGTAAATAAAAATTCAGCACAAACGAATTTTCGAAAATTTAGTACTTAATATTTTCAATTTTTTTTTTTTTTTTTTTTTTTTTTTTTTTTTTTTTTCCTTTTTCTCGCCTCTACCCTAAAGGGTCATTGGCGTTTTCTATGATTTATACTCTGTTATAGTAGTTAACAATTTTTAAAAAATTTAACACTATCGAGACTCTTTCTTCATCGTCTTTTAGTATTTCTTTTAGTGTTTTTCCTAGTTCTATTTTTTCTCTGAGCCTTTTGAATTGGGAACATTCTACTAGAAGGTGTTTCACAGTTTGCGGTGTATTGTTACATTTCTCGCAAGTAGGAGCTTCTAGACCTCTTAAAAGATAGCCATGAGTGAACTGGCAGTGCCCAATCCTTAGGCGGCATAGTATAATTTCTTCACGCCTAGACTTTCTGTTGCTAGTGAGCCATTTATCGCAATTGGGTTTCACTTCTTTCAGCTTACACTCTTTGATCCTCCACTCTTTTTCCCACTCTGCCAGTTGTTTTTTCTTTATTTCGTGTACCCAGTCTTCTAAAGTGATATATTTCACTCTAGTCACTTCCTCTTCTTCTCCTCCACTTCTTGCTAAATGGGCTGCATTGTCAGCATTTTCATTTCCTAAAATTCCGCAATGAGCTGGTACCCATACCAATACAACTGTTATTCCTTTATTTTTTAGATCCCACCAGATATTGAGTATTTCCCTAATTATGGAGTTTTTAGGATATGGATTGTCAATGGCAGTTAAAACGCTGTATGAGTCCGTCACAATTACCCAGTAGTTCTTTTCAGTTTCGCTTATAAGATATAAAGCATTAATGATGGCAGTGGCCTCTCCTGTGAATACTGAACATTCTCCAGGTAATTTAAACAGTAATTGTTTCTCTTTACTCGCTAAAGCACATCCTACGCTACCTCCTTCTTTGGATGCATCCGTATATATAAAATCGAAATTTTTATATTGTTCCGTTAGCTTTAAAAAATATTTTTGTATTTCAAGCGGATATGCCTTTGCAATTTTAGTCATAGATTTATTAATAAATGGTCTATCTTTTTTCCAACGCGGCATTTTTAATTCTGGGATGGGTCTTATAATGGTCGTATCCATGTTTATTTTAGTTGTTGCATTGTAAATTGCTTGTTTAAAAATGTTATTTTCTATATTTCTAAGTCCGTTTCTTTCTGATTCTTCTGAAAATAAATATGGAGTTAATGGGTGGTAGGAAGATGCTTTCAATTTGGCAATGTATTTCAGAGATAGGTATTCTCGTCTCAAGTTTAAGGATGTTTCTCCAGATTCAACGTAGATGCTGTCGATTGGAGAAGTTCGAAACGCTCCAGTGCATATTCTTAGGGCTGAATTATGTATAGAATCTAAAATCCTCAATATTGTTTTGTTGGTTGTACTATATATCTGCGCTCCATAGTCTATTTTGCTGCGTATTATAGACTGGTATATTTTTATTAGAGTGCATCTATCGGCACCCCAGCTAGAGTGTGAGAGACATTTAAGAATCCCGAGTCTTTTTGTGCATTCTTCCCTCAAATATGTAATATGTTGTATCCAATTCAGTCTCTTATCAACTATCATTCCTAGATACTTGTGACTTTCTGTATATTCAATTGAGGAACCTTCTATAAATATTTGTGGATTATTCTGCTGACACTTTCGACTTCTACAAATGTGTAGACATTTAGACTTCGAAGATGATATCTTAAATCCAGTTTCCCTTGTCCAATCTTTATTTTCGAATTTTCGAAAATTATTCATCTAAAAAAATCACAAATTGTAGTCAAAAATAGCAGTATCGATCAGTGAATTCGATGATAGTTGCAAAATGTAATGACATGAGTAAGGGGGAGGGGAGATCCCAGTGGCACCTCCTCCTAGCGTGACATCTGCATTATTCGAGGAGGTCTCTCATATTACACCTTAAAATTATTTAAATAGGCCTTGTAATGTATTGCGTAATAGCAATCCAATATAGCTTGGCAGCTTATTTTTTAATGAAGTGTTTCTATCTTGTATTGAATAAAATCAAATTTTAAGGGAGGTTATTTAGTCTTTTAATTTTTTCAAGCGATTATTAAGATCCATTTTGAATCATTAATAATAAGACAAAACTATTGAATGATTAAAAAAAAATTGAAAGTTGTCAACAAATTCATTCTCAGCTGTACCCTTAGTCGACTCATTCAACGACTTTTATTTTTACAGCTATTTGTTTTTATTGTAACAGTCAGCTCGATTTTCCTCTTGTACTTTCTTCTTTCACACAGAATCAACATTAATCAAGCTGGCACGACAAGATGGGTTGTGGAGAGGATAGGAGAGCTTTCCCCTTATTTGTTCAGGCGGGTGTCTCTCTGCTTTGGTTTTAGCTGCCTAACGAGCCTACAACTTACCATCAAATTAATTCGAATTTCGCCCATTTAATTACGAATTACGAGGTAATTCGGGCGGTCGGATGCCTTTGTAAGGGGCTTTGTAACGTTTAATAAAGGTAACAACGGAGCAAGTCTGAAAGGATCAGAAGACAATTTTGTTTACGTCAGTATCAACTATTATTCTCAAATTATTTTTCTTCGACGAAAAATTAGATAACTTACCACTACAAAATAAGTTCTTAAATTTACAAAAATGTGAAATGTCAAATTGAAAAATAATAACTGAAAATCG